GGGGGGACTAGTAAAAAAGCGCTATACAAATACAGGCCATTTACCATTGTTTTTTACATATTGCCTCACAGCAACAATGAACTCCAGCCTTCTAGTGTTGGCATTACAGAAAGACCTGATCAGTCAGGATGTTCAAACTTCAGTTGCTATAAAGGAATTTTTTGCCCTATTGTATAGATGGCGGTGCAGTACATAAGAACAGTATGAAAATATTATTTATTACAAGAGGGGTGGTACAGGCTCAGTTTATACTGCCTTAGTAACCTTAAAACCCATCCATTTATAAAAAAGCCTCCTTCTGGTTTTGCTCATTGTCTTTGACCACTCCCACCTACATCTAAAGACGTTTCACAAGCAGATTAAATAAATTACATAATTTTACCTAAACTTGACACAAAGTTTAATCCAGCATAACCACTGTACTTTAATACACCGACATAACAGTTTATGCACAGAAGCAAGACTGTGGTACCACACCTTATGTTGTTTAAGCTGAGAATGAAGTTCCATTGCCTGTTGCAATGATTTGTCTTTTTCTTGCTGAGCACTCAAGAGCTGCGTCTGAGCCTCACTTAGCTGCTGCTCCAGACCACAAACCTACAACATGACAAAACACATACGCAAACATAAACACATAAAAAAGACGCACATACTGGCCATTTACTGGTGCTGCTTCTCCACATCCAAGCAGCACAGTTCAGAGAAGTGAATTTATATCTGCCTGACTTAATAACTTCATCTTTTCAACATCATCTTTACCTTATCTTTAAGGCTGGAAAAGGTTGACTCCAATTCTCTGGCCTGATACTCGTGCAGTGAGGGCGGTCTCACGGTGAGTTTTCTGGGTATACAAATTGTGAGTGAATACTGTCATATTGTCTGACAGGTTTACAGTAATACAGAAACCAGCAGGGAGTTATCACTGCACTGCAAACTACCTGATGAATAATAAAAAGAAGACATTTTTTGACAGCCACTTACTTGAGCAATTCCACTTTGGCACACAAGTTGAAGCTGTTGTCTTTTGATGAGCTCAGTATGTCAGTCAACATCGCCATCTCCTGGCCAAGAGTTGAAATGAGGTGTTCCAGTCTAAGTTGACACATTTTGCACAGGGTTTATTTACACGGTTAAGGTAGGGCACGGCAACTTTTTAAGTTTACTTTGTTTCTTTGATGGCACACAAGAACTAAAGAGAAGTAATAAAAAGAATAGCTATGATTCAGTAAAGAGTTTGTTAATCACTAAAGGCAAGAATTTCTCAATTTTGTTTCTGACAAGAAGATGACAATCATTATGTTTGAGCATATTTTCAACAGAATAACTTAAACCACCTGCTCCATTGAAAAAGAAAAAAACAACTGCTACACTGAAGTTGGTATTTATACTATAAATATTCTTCAAAAGTGACACAAATTATGGCAAAAATCACACACAAACATTCTGATAATTTATCATGTAAATTTGCTGCTTTACTTTGTATTTTGTGTGAGTGAATGGAAGATCTTTAGCTTTTATACAACAGGTTTGACAAACCCAGCTCTAAGAATCTGTGATGGGCAGTTGTTGACATTCTGTAAATGACAGAATTCACTGATTAGTTAGGAAAATGATATACCTTTCTTGTTCAATTGCTCCACTGTATTCCTTGTTCCCCATCTGTTCTTCTGACTGATATGAAACAGAAAGAAAAAAATCATGAGAGTCATATTTTTTTGCAAAATACACCCATTATTGTACTCTACTGAATGCTATCACTTACCAAAAAAGGCCTCCCCTGTAGCTTGTCATTGAGATCCACATTTGCCTTATTAGGAATAAATTGCTGCGTTTTGCGATTCTCGTGTTTAGTGCCGGTGACTGAGTGCTCAGATTGTTTCCCATCCAATGTATGATACACCTCCTTTATGGTCTCCTCCAATGTTTCAACTTTCCTATTAAGCGCGACTGCCTCATTCTCCATCTCCTGCAGCTTCTTGTCCCTCGACCTTTTGAGTTTCTGAAGCTCTTCCAACAAGCACAGCATCTTTTCCATCTGATCAACGTGTTTCCTCGAATCCTTTAATCTACAAATCAAAAGATTTGTGGGTCAAAGTGATTCAGGCATTTTATTTTATATATGTAGAACTGTATCTGTGTTTTCACCTCAGGTCAGACAGGGCATCATTCTCCATCTGGACTTTATGCAGCTCAGTTTTCAGGTTTGTGATGGCTTTCTGAGGACAGCATGTTTCTTGTTCAGCTTGATTAACTGTCTGTGTTTGGGGAGATGAAACATAAAAGATACATAATGCAGAGAGTGCACTACCCTCCTCTGCTATTAACATCACACATGACCAAACTATTACATAAGATTAATGGCTGCAATAAAATATGAACTTTGTTGAGCTGCAAGTCTGACAGCTGCTGAAGGCAGTCATCCATTGCATTTTCTAACACCTGCTTTCCAGGAGAGCTGATGTCCCTTTGGGCTACTTCCTGGTTTAAAATATCCAGACCAAAGACCAAAGGCTGAGTCACTGCCTGCTGGTGGGTTGGAAGAAGGGAGGAATCTCCAGGAGAGTCATCTGCCAAAACAGCAACAGATGTTTAAAACACTCAGAGCGTACACTGTCACTGTTAAGATAGGGTGTTTGTTTATGTTGAATTCTTTCCCTTCATATCTGTGTATGCATGCAAGTTAGAGCGGCATAAACAAGATGTGTGAAAACACTTGTACTTACAGGTATGAGGTTTAATATCATGGCAGCTTTGTCCAGGTGACCTACAGCTGCCGCCAAATCTCTCCAGAACCACCTTAGTTGCATTTTCCACCTCTTCTTGTAGTCTTTGGGTTTCTTTGGTGCGGCGATCAAGCTCATCACTGTCAATACATAGAAGCTAAGGCTTAGACTAACTCACACAGTGATTTGTTTACTAATAGTACCCACTGCAGAAAAGCCTGACTTATTTTCTTTGATCAAAACAGAATGTTTTAAGCCTAATCGTTAAAGCTGTGAGGAAGACAGCCATGCATCAAAACCAGGACCTGGTTCCACAGGAGAGGATAGCTGAAGGCTCTGCCTCCCACTTTACTTAAAGCACAGTGAACCACAAGTAAGCCTGACAGGGCAGTCTTACAATGAAATGCTCTGTTAGGATAATATGGTACTATGAGGTCTCTAAGATATTCAATTTTGGCTTCAACACGGAGCCAACACGGGACAAATGCGATCTCTCTTTCCAGTCCCTGTTAATACTCTTGCTGCTGTGACTTGGATGACGATTTGATGATTTGGATGCTTTTTCAGGGAGATTTTAGAACAGCCGGATTAATAGGAATTATAACAGTCCATCCAAGAGTGGCACATGCATGAACTACCTTTCAGTATCACTGTGAGACAGGACATATATAATCTTGACAATACAGTGCAATAGAATGAAAGAAGGAAGTCTAAGTTCTTTTTTTAATGTTTATCTTTCATTGGGTCTGTCCTTTAGCATCGTTGGGACAAAAAACGTAGAGCGCGTCATTTTTTCAGTGCAAAAGCTGTTACGTTTGGGTGAGGAACCTTACCTCAGCTCCTCCAGTGTCACACTGTTGAATCTCAACCGAAGAGGGCCATCATGGGGATCTATAGAGTAAATAGGAACCGTCCAAGTTACTGAAACAAAGTTTAGCATACTAACAGGCAATACTTTGCTTACTTAGCTTACCAGCGGTTCCAGTTCCTGCCGCTGTTGCTGTTCTATCTTTCGCTGCGGAATGGTATCGTAAAACGTCAGTGCCACTATTGATGGAAAGCCTATAGCTCTGGGGCTCAGAGGGCTGGGACCCCGTGGAAGACATCTCATTTTTATGTCAAGTCATTGATTAAGACATTTACAAGAACCTGCAAATGACAACTGCTAACAAGTTGCTAGAGCGTGCAGTTTCATCACCATGGAAACAGCATCGGTGGTAGTGACGTGTCATGCGCAAAAGCGTCGGCTCTAATCGGAAGAGCCAACTCCCATCATATTTGCCAAATAAAGATAAAATATGAGGCTACAGATGGTAATATATTAAGAGCCATTGGGAGCCAAAAGAGCCAGCTCTTCTTTGAGAGCCGTGCCACAAGAGCCATCACTAATCCGTAGCTAATTTGGCCGACGTAGTTGAGCGGTCTTTGAGTGTAACCGTTAAAATATAATGACAGACTTGTATGTGAAAGTCAGAACCGGTGAACTATAAGTTTATCGGTTAAGTGACCGTAAACACGAGGCAAAACATAAGTACTGCCGACGACTGTTACCGCCAACAGGCACCTTTTTGTGCCACTTTGTGACGCAAACAGGCAAGACGTTGCGTTTCTAGAGATGCATGATGGTTAAAGTAGTTTTCCCCAGCAGGTCCGGAGCTGCTTGTTTATTACGGGCGGCGGGGAGGGGGTCGTCGCTCTTCGACGGTGATCGAGGTCTTATTTTGTTATTTCCCGTCAATCATCGCAATCAAAATGGAAACATGGAGGAGTGAAATCTGAATTGAAGTCACGGAGCTGTTACTATCCTGCACGCCTTCCGCTCCTGGGCAAGGTAAAACGACTGCTTGATTAGCGCTAGCTAAGTTAGCTTACACTGGAGTACTTTGTGTGGGTGACGCCCCCCGAATGTTTTGGGGGTTTTTTTGGCAATTATTGATATTTTTGTTTTTCAAAACACAATTTCTAAAACCCAAAAGAAGGAAATAGCCTAGCTCTATTAACTCAGCCCCGTCTGTAATATGAAATCATCTCCCTGTTTGGATTAGCCCGGTGACCTAGTTTCAGGTCAGTGGTCATTTAGCTCAAATATCTACATCTACTTCGATTTGGTGGTAGTTTAGTAGTTGTGCTTCGGCATATTTTATGCATTCACTTAATAAATCACTTATAATATTGTAACGATCGTCAGGTTATATACCAGATTATTTATTTATTTATTTATTTATTTTTTCGTAGGGATACCGGACATCCTGTAGGTGTGGTTTAGGAGGCAACAGTTACAGTCAACATAGGGTTACTCTTGACAGTCTCTTGGATTTTAATGGAAAATAATAAACAAATATTACAATATGTTGTTTTCCAGATGAGGGATCTTCAGGACGTTGACAGTTTGCTCTTGAAAGAGTTGAAGTCATGCTGTGCGACAGAGTACAACTTTCTTCCCAGGGAGACTGGCCTGAAGTTGATGGAGTCTGCCTCCACAGAGGTAACCCACTGACCTACTTTTGTTTTTGTGGAGTTTTTTTTAGCTGTGTTTGCAGGCATATGTGTTTGCTAAAATGACTGCTATTTTCAGTGATGCCTTTCTAATATATAGTGGTACATTTGTAGAATCACAGCGGAGTATCTGCAAAATGCAGAGACACCAGAGTGGAAGAACTGTGGAGCCTGACCAGCTTCTTTGGCTACTGCACCCAAACTTTTGTTCAAGCTGTCAATTTACTTGATAGATTTCTCACCATTATGAAAGTAAGAATTCCAAGTTAAACACCAAGACTGCAACTGTGCATGTTTAATGTCCTTTAGTCTCCTTTGACTTTGATTAATTGGATTTTGGCTCATTTCTGTTGATGATAGGTGCAGCCTAAGCATTTGCCCTGTATTGGAGTTTGCTGTCTTCACATTGCTGCCAAAATGGTTGAGGAGGAAAGCAATGTCTCATCCACTCATGAGCTTATTCGCATCAGCCAAAGCAAGTTCACCGTGTCAGACCTGTGTCGTATGGAGAAGATCATCTCAGAGAAGCTCAGTGTGGAGCCCAAAGCAGTGACAGCCTTAACCTTTCTACACCTCTACTACTCAGCCTTCACATCCCTGTCTGCTGGAAGGTAAATATTTTTTTGTATTTACTTTTTCTTGTTGCTAATGCTGCTCCAGACTGATTGGAGCTGGTCAAATAGTTACTGCTGACTGAGGCTTGTACTAGCAGATCACATTAGGATTCCCTCTATATTTTAAGGGAGGAGATCCCAAGCATTGGGAGACTGGAAGCCCAGCTAAAAGCCTGCTTATGCCGGCTTGTTTTCTCTAAAGCAAAAGTAAGCAAGGTGACACTTTTACAGCATAGCAGCATTAGTTTGGAGTATCAGGACTAATTAACCTGTTCCTCTTCACAGCCATCCGTGCTGGCGCTGGCCCTCATTGCTCAGGAGTTTGAAGCCCTCCAGTCAGTCATGTTGTTGAAGACTGTCCAGCAGTTCCAAAGACATGTAAAGGTATGAAGAGAATAGGGTGCGGCAGCTAAATCCTCTTTCAAACAGTCAGTATTATTCCATCATAATATATTAGTAACAAGGGTATTATCAAAAATTGTATGATGATATTTTAGCTCATCGAGCTGAAGGTTTAATGTACTTATGAGTCAGGAGTCCGTCATCCATCCATGCATCTGTTCACAATTCACAAGAATTGCGACTCCTGCTACAATATTGGTCATTATTTAATCAGCCTTGCACATAATTATCACCTAATGCGTCTTCACCCAACTTTTGCCCAAGGTCAAGGTCACATTTGTAATTCTTTTCTTTCTTTCTTTTTCTTTCAATGGGCAGTAACTCGGGAATTGTGATAGAGCCAGATGAGCTTCCACATCCCTGATGTTGTGGTTTTTAATGTTTTGGCAGTTTCACTGTAGTCTTATCACAGCTGTGAAATGAGGATTTGAAGCTATTTTCTTCCAACCCGTTTGGCACCAACTTTTCTGTCTCCAGCCAAAAACATGTTGTCTTTGTTTCACCTATCCCTGTGTTTGGAGGAGCTGTCTCACCCCACTCAGCATGAAAGTCCAAACAGAAACGGTGCGACGAGACATGACTGCAAAACAAGTCTAATTTTGATTAAAACTGAAAAATTTACAAGCAGCAGACAAAGTTTCTCCCTTAATCTTTGGTATTTTGGCATATATACTATACACATCTGCTGTTATGCTACCTGGCTAAATAACTACCATTATCTAGCAGGCCTCTTGGCAGTGTAATCTTGTCAATGTGTCATTTTTAGCATCAGAAAAGAGCTAAAGAGAGTTGGTTGTGGGTTACTGGTTATGGTTGTTTATTAATATTTACGATTTCTATAAATAAAAAATGAGTAAGAGTGCACAGATAATACAGTGCCCCCTCTCAATGTTTCGCAGCAGACATGGTGACCACTAATATGCTTTTAAAACCCTTAAAAATCCAGTCTAACCTAAAAGTCTAACTTATAAACAAAAGTCAAGAGTAAATGTTACTCGCCCAGATGAAGCACCTGTATCTGGTGTGTAAACGTAGCCTGTTATATTTTTTAAAGATAATTGCGTTCAGAAAACTTTGCAGTTTGGCCGGTGTAATCCCACGGAGACTGTAAAATGTGTAAAATTACTTATTGTTGCCTGGCCAAATGCATGTAGAGTGCATGGGAAAACTGTTAAAAATATATATATTTTAAGGCCATTCCTATTTGTAACCTCTCAGATGTTTCCTGTTTTTCTTCTTCTCTTCAGATCAGTGACAGTGAGCTACTCCACTGGAAGGAACATGTGGCCAAGTGCATGGTGGAGTACCGCTCGAGCGAATGCAACAAACCAGACAACAAAAAGCTTGTTTGGATCGTGTCAAGGAGGACGGCTCAGAATCTCCAAACTAGTCACTTCAGTGTGCCCGGTCTGCCAACTATTCCCGAGAAAAGCTGGGATGAAAGCGAGAGGTTAATAGTTAATCTTTTCTACTTTCTTTGTGTTATAATGATTTCTCGGGTGTGCTGGGCTTCTTGGGAAACTAAATGGGATAATTATGGTAAAATCAGGTCAGAATATTTTCCACAGCTCATGTGTAGCACACAGCAAATGCATTCACATTAATGGAATGCAGTGGTTTTGAAGAGGTAGCTACAGGAAACACCACAGTCGATAGCAATAAACGCTTAGGAGTTTTAGCCGATCTCTTCTCATATCAGTGCAATCTAACATCGCACAGACTTTATACTAGGATACAGTTTATGTTAGACTGCTATGTTTATCCTTTGATCCTCTGTCCTGCATATCGACTCTCTCTAGTGTACATAATTTGACACACAATTCTCACAATAAAACATGCCCTAAAAAAGAGATATGTGCTCTATGGATGCAACTGTATTAAAAAGTGATGATAAGATGGATCAGCAGGTGAAAAAATAGATTTGCCTTTTATTTTTCCACCTAGCCTCCATACATGCTTATTGTATTTACTTTGTAGGAGGTTTTGTAAAGCTGCATTCAGATAACACAAATTTGTCCTTCACATATTAGTACTGACATGCATATTTTGCGTGTGTGTTTTGTTTTGTTTTTTCAAGATCCAGCAGGTTAGAGCCTGCAGAACCGCTGTGTACAAATGGCTTAAGAAAAGTCAAAACGTCATTTTTCAAGTTCCAATTTTACAGCAGAATTGTAAAAATGATTGGTTAAATATGTGCTGAAGACAAAATTATTCTCAATTAACTTTCAGTTAGGTTATGGTTAGCATTAATAGAACTCTGGACTCATTATTCCCTTAGTTGATTTCACTACTAAACCAAAACCAGAGACATTAAAAGAGTGAGGCGTGGCTCAGATGGTGGTAGAAATGTAGAAACTTCCAGAGGAAAATAAATACAAAGACTAACTTTACTCTGTGAGTTAGGACTATGCATTTTGAACCTGAATTCTAAGGGTTTTGGCATTCGCTATGTCAATTATGTTTTATCCTTTATTCATTTTTTAATGTTTTTTGCGCACACTAGCAGGGAAGCTACATCTACAAACTGTAGACAGAAACACACACCCAAAAATCTTATTATTAGTAGAAGGTCACCTACAAATATGATAAAACATCAGTCCCAGAAAGTTGATTCTGTTCATCTGGACGTAATTTTTTCTGACGCCGTGTCCAGGTGAACAGATTCAACTTTCTGGGATTGCTTTATCTGACTGGCTGAGCATGCATCAAAACGTAGAACATCACTCACTAAAATTGAACAGTGAAGACTCCACTTCACTGAGTCACATTACCCAAAGTGAGGCAGAGCGATTAGCTAAAGCTGCTTGTGATGGGACACTGTCCTATTATGTGAAGCAGCCACACCCTTAATTCCACCATCAGCTTCACGTAGCCACGAGAGGCACTGCAGTTTTTCTGCTGCAGAGGTTGCTGCTTGTTTAAAACCTTATTTTAGGTCAAATCAGGAAAGCTTCTAGGTGTTTTTCTATCAGATATAACAGATTCTGTTCAAGATTAAGATTTTATCCAGCAGTAACCAATGAAATCAAAGTCAATTTGGAAAATGCTATAAAAAATAACGGTGCTGGTGCTGTTTCGAGTGGGACTTTGCTTAAATCCCATTCAAAATGACTGTAAGTAGGGTTGTAACGATTAAACAAAGGAAGCATTGAGTATTAATGCTGTCTTGTCTCATAGCGAGGACTCCTGTGAGGACATGAGCTGCGAAGAGGACAGCCCATGCGGCTCGTTAGGAAGCGACGGTGAAGGAGCCTTCTTCCCTTCCACTTTTCTCAACTGCAGAGAATA